ATATATATATATATAATGATTTTATTCTTTAAATATTACTAAGTATGTAGATACTAGTTCTATTAATAATCAAGTAAAAGATAATCAATGGAAGTTTAGTATGATATACAGACTTTATTAGGTTGAATATTTAACAGTAATGAAATATTTTTATATAAAGTTTAACAAATTGTATTTAGTATAGAAATTAGTCAAAAAAATATTTTTTTTATATTACATATATTAGTTGAAACTAGGGTTGATTGCAGAAATATTTTTATTTATAAATCTGGCAGTGTTTCAGGAAAAGAGGATATTAATATTGTGTTTAAATTTTATTGTAAGTAAATTTTTTTTCTTAAGTATGTGATTGTAGCCACCTCGTTACATAGCTCAATTGCGAATTATTTTTATATTATAATATTTATGATATTATATTCTTAGCGGTAATTATCTATACTAATTATTTAGAGTTTTAAATTATTTATGTGATAATTTCTCAAATACTGAAGAGAAAACAATAGATTTTGGTGCGTAAAGCAAGACAGAATAATATAAATAATAGAGTACTATATGTCTATTTTATGTCTATTTTTTTCATTCTGTGTGATTTTTATCAAAGCAGTGCTAAAAAGTATAATTTGCATAATAAAATATATAGGAGATTTATTTATAATATAGATTAATGTGATCCAACAATTGACGCAATTGCAACAATTGTATGATTTACTGTTGAAATTGATTTGTGATTTAATGAACATAAGATAAAGTAGATAGTACTATTGTTGTAGTATAATGATTATATGTATATCACAGATGAAATAAGTTTCTTAATTATTTATTATTTTTTGTTATTTAAAATTATTTATTTAAGTCTAAAAAGAAAAGGAAAATTGGATCACATTAATATATATATAATTTGTCTCAAAATTGATCGAATAGATACATAGCACTATTTTCTACGAAATTTTGTGTTAAAAATAGATTTTTGTTTATTAATAATAGCAATAAATTCTATTAGTATAATTTTCCTCAGCTATGAGCTATGAAAAATAAAAGCTTCTCACGACTAACAATTGCATATAAACATTATAATTATTATTCATATCTTTCAAATAGAAATAGAATTTAGTAAAATTTTGACTTTGAATTTTAAATATCGAATCGATATATAAATATCGATATTAAAACATTAAAGTTCAAAAGTTACAAAAATTATCTGTTCGCCTTTTCAATAAGGAAGAGTTAAATTGAAATTTTACGAACAACATTATGTAAGAATTTTAAAACGCTGAATACGTTATTATCGGTATCATAATAAAAAATATATAGCGAACATTTGTCTTCTACATAAGTTATCATACTTTCATGATACATTCTTACTAATCTTCAATACCTTTAAAAATATTTTTACATGCAGTATATGCGACGTTGTATTCTGTAGTCTTTTTGATTTAACAGAAATTGAACAACCCTAGAACCCGCTAAAGCTAATAGCCTCGATTGAAATTTCCACCGTCGAAGCGAGGATTTCCATCATAAGAAACCTGTGCGCTAAAACCGTGTTGCCAATCCGCGGTGTATCGCACAAGTTGCGTTCTACCGTCCGGAAGTTGTACCTTATATTCACCACGGACGACTTCGCCGTCGCTAATGGCATTGTGTGAATAATCGTTGCCGAAAGCGTCCTCTTTCACAGCATAGTTGAAGTCAAAGGGCATGCCAGGTTCGTGATGATGATGATCATGCTGCAATGCATTCATTAATTAAAAAATTAAATACGTGTGTAATATCGATTTATATCTCTAATTTTATACATACAAACCTCAGTTATATCATCTCATTCGGATAAAAATATAAAATATAAAATAATATTATTATAATAATTTGAATTAAGTCATACTTATTTTTCATAATTGAAAGATTATATCAGTTAAATATCTTATGGTATATCTTACATTTTTCTTCTTTGACGATGCAAAGAAAGATACAAATATGTGTTTGAACAATTAAAACAGTATGAATTTTAAGATTGAATTATTTAAATAGTTCAATTCTAAAGTTTGAATAATATTTGTAACAACGTGTATAATTCAATATAACATAATTCAGTCCTAATTATTTAATCTTCTAATCGTGTTCGGGTCTTTTTCGATTCGAGCGTTTTTAAAAAGTTTTCGTGGTAACGATAATATTGCCAATAAAAATATTAATTTTTGCGGTATATTATATTAAATCTTCTAAACACAGTTAAAAGGTTAAATAATTCAAGCCTAAGAATATTTCGAACTGTTCGATCCATTGCATTTAACTGCAAATCTGAAATAGAGCAAGCACAGAGAAATAGAGCTGTTTATCTCTATTTTTTTAATAAGTACTATATTATTTTTACCTGAATATTCTTTAATGTCCGAACCATTTAAAATTTTCTATTTAATACACTAAACAATTTATTAAATATTAATATATATTTGTTTGAATAGTACGAAATAAATATTGATTTAGAAGTATTCAAACAAATATTTATTAAAATTTAATTTTTTTTAGTGTATGAAAATTATATTTGAATCTTCGACTCGATTAAATCGATCAAATAAAAAAATCGACGGTTTTATTTAAATTATTTATCCAAAATGGAATTTGAACTTTCTACTTCAAACTGTTTGAATAGGATACTTCGCAGTTTTTAGAGGTGTTCTATCAATTTTTAGAGATCTATATCTATTCTATTATATTAGATAAAAGAAAAATTAATTTTTCAGCTACAGTTTCTAAATTGAAGATTTTTTATAAGCAAAAAAGTATGTATTTGTTCCATATTTCTTTAAAATCACTTAAATATTAGATATAGATTTTTTAGTACAATGTATACTTACATCAGGGCCGATACGTGTTCCATCACCACCGCTTTGTTGGCCGTTATAGTCTGGGAAAGGAGGTGTGGGTCTTACTCTGGGATATCCTGTGCCTGGTGACGGCGGAAAAGTTCCTGGAGTTCTGGTAGGTTGTGGGTAGGTGGGCGTCGGTCTGGGGAAGGTTGGCCTGGGTCCGGGGATGGACGGCGTTGGCCTAGGTACGGGGAAGGATGGCGTTGGCCTAGGTGCGGGGAAGGACGGCGTCGGTCTGGGTCCAGGGAAGCCCGGAGTAGGAAACGGTCCCGTCGGTGTGGGCTTCGGAAATGGTACCGGCGGCTTGCTGTACGTGTAACCTTTCGTCGGCTCTGGCGGCAAGTAAGTGTTGCGCCGTGTGCCCGGTGGCAGATCACCAATAACGCTGGCTACCGTCACGCAGAGCACGATCAGCTGTGCAGGAGAAATCGGGTCGTTAGTTCGCTTAGTGAGATGTACATCCTCTTAGAACGTATTTTACAGAAAAAATCATGGAGTAGAATTAAATGAAGTAAAGATTGATCTCTCGCTTAAAAAAAAAATCGCAGCAAGGATTATATTCGGATAGCTAAATCTGTTAAGATTTCGGAAAGATCTGCGACAAATCTGGAGACACAGTAGCGTTTTGGCTTTTATCGACAGAATGCAATAGAAATATAACAGACTACTATATAATAAGATATAATGGCAGATTCTATAGAAACAAGAGAGTAGAACAGAATCTCTACCTTTTGTAACCGTTTTGTATGATATATTTAAATTAACACAGTTTATAAAATGATCGATTTTGTTCACAATTCCTGTCGACAATCTGCTATTAGATTATATCAGCAGACTCTGCCGACAAAATACGAGTTTGATGCGGACATGGATGATCTCTTGCAACATCTGAACAAATCTGTTACTAATCTGTAATTGTCGTTATGCAGGCAGTTTGCTCACTAGAATACGCAGGCCAACATTTGATTGAAGAGAATCTGAGCAGAGATTGAAATTAACCGCTATTTACTCCGAGTACAGTTAATACCATGCTTTGAATGTGAGAGACATCTGCGCTGCCAGATCGTAATATTAGCTTACATATATTCTTGTTTAAATTATATAACACAGTTTAACAAAATATAACTTTTTTTGAACATCAGGTCGAAACTAGTCATTTCTTATAGTTTTTTCGGATGCTAAATACAAATCCTGTTTACAAATTGCTCTATTATGTCATAATTTTACAGAGTTTGCACTTGTAATTGCAAAAAAAGGATTATTTTCACTGTACTTTGTCATATTATAATTACATATGTATGTATGTGATATTACATGCTAGACAAGCTTTATTGCAATCAAATTAGATATGTTGTTCGGTCTTTTAGCTCTCAAGAAATTTTTTGTGTCGGCTGTGATTAATAAGATATTCATAGTTAAATGTTGCAGAAATTTATGAATTTTAGATCATTGATAATTTACCAAATAACTTTCAATTACGTTCATTTAAACTTAAAGATTTTTTAGATCGTTGTGAATATGAACTTGATGTAAAAATTTGATGAATTTAAAATAATGAAAAAAAAATCTCTATACAAATTATATCTCTATATAAATTTTCGGATATTTTTTAAGTTTTGTTATCTGCCATATTGATTGCACTATTTTGAATTTGTCAATTCTATTTTGACATAATTGATATGTTTATAATGACACTAATGACTTAAAAAATCTTTAAGTTTAAATAAAAAAATATAGGTGTGACTTCAGTATTTACACCGCACGAGAATTTACACTGCAGAAGTCAGAGAAACTAAAAGGAGTGGAGATAATATGCATGCAACCTCTATTATATGCTTTTATGTTATATTAGTATTGTGTTATGATTTCAGTTTCCTACTGTTAGTATTAATAAAATGACTGTCAGTTAAATCGATTTGTCAACGTAGTGAATAGCGCAATTATATATCATAATTCACATAAAATGATTATTGTAGAGATTGCGAAA